ATGCCGTGTGTTTTCATCTCTTCTTGTCTCTGCGGATGATGGCAGCCTGTTTCCATACACATCTGTAACGACTTTGCCTGTACCTTCAACACTGACCAATTAGGTATCATTCTTCTTGCCAGCCAATCAGAATGACACGAACGTGCCTTCATAACCTGTGCAGCCCCAAGGCCTAATGAACATCACCTGCTGTGAGTTATGTTATTGAGTTTGGCACAGCAGTTGAAGTACCAGTAAATGTTTTTCTGCCATTGGATCTTTTTAGTTTGTTTGGTGCTTCATATTTGAATGGAACTGTTTTGAAAGCTATCCAGTGTTCAAGTCACAGGTGGGCGACAGGGCATGGTACCCAGGCTGGGGCTGTTGAGTCCATTACATTCCCCTTCAAGTCCATTACTAGTCATCAGTTGAAACCCAAGTCACAGGGGAACTCTGACAAAAGCATTCATCTTATTATTTGTGATTGGTTTTGTAACTGGACTTGTAAAAGCACTTATGGCTGGACCCTTGACAGCCTACACTATGGCCCTGATCTAGCCCTTGGTGCATGTGCAGTTCCATGTTTTCTTAATCTACAATGAATGAAAAAATTTGCCTTAGGTGGGATTTGAACCTGTGACCTGTGGCACAGGTGTTCTGACTTCACGAGCTGAGGTCAGCCAGGTATGAAGCAATTGCCTTATTTCTCAGGATCTGTGGTCTCAGTTGCTAATCAAATTAATTCCTAATTGCTGCTTCCCAGGTTTACATCATAATTAGGGGCTTTAACCCTGATTTCAAGTCATCAACCTCCATGTCTCAGAAAAACAAGGAAAAATAGGCAATTTACAGTGCAGTGCACCACCAAGAGGTTGCCATGGAGAGGCCATTTTTGCGTTGCATAATGGGGAAACGGTTGATAAAAATTCTAATTTCCCGCTGCTCTGTGCTAGGGAAAGTCAAGCTGTTCCCAGTGTTGGTTTCTTGTGTTTGAGTGTTTTTGAGTATTGATGTTAATTAATCAGATGGGTTTTTTCTTTTTGTCAGGTCAGGCATGCCTCAGGTTTTTCCTCAGTTTTTTGACTTATTTGTGCTCAAAAAATGGCCTCTCTGAGGTAACCCCTCGGGTGATGTAATGTATTAATTGCCTAAATTGACAAATTTGGGTGACTGCCAGCATATCTGTAGGGCATCAAACAAAGTAGTTTGTTGGTCGTGTATGTTGATGTTGTTTCTGGCTTAATTTATCAGCCTGTTCATTTCCCCTTTGATTTATGTGAAGTATATTCTACCCAAGGAGATTCTTCATCAAGGATGAGACCGTAAACCTATCAGTATCAAGTGACTTTTGAAAAATCCCCACTTCTATCCGGTGTCGAATTCCTTGTAAGTGTCCAGAACTGTGCTTCGTTGGACAAATATTTGTGAAACAGAAGACCGGTTATTTGGGGCACTGCAAGGGGCAAAATTCCTTATTGGCTCCGTGGCAGTTTTCTCTCTGGGAGGGGAGAAGTAGGGAAGCAGTTTGACTGCAGAGAATTATGCATATA